ACACCGATTGAGTCCTCCAACTTGAATCGAATCGCCATATCTTGCTTCAGAGTGGACGGAATTTGAATTCAAAAGCACCATTCAACTTAGCTCGACGAGATGCATCTTCTGGTATGCAGAAGTGCTTGTTTGGAAACAACATTTGGTCAAATTTTAGGATCTTTCCGGGGTTTTGGGTACGGTAATTTATTCACTGTGCATTGAATGAACATTCTGCATAACTTACTGTATTCAAAAATTGGAACGATTCGTGGATTCTAACCAACTACCTTGCCCAATCACGCGCTTCTAGATATCAGGTGTACCTCTAAAGTTAAATGGTGGTTTTCGTTCAGAAATCATCCACCCTGAAGCAAGATATGGCGATGCGACCCGAAGTTGGCGAGCTCCGGCGGGGTGCAACGATTCTTTTTTCACAGATCGCGAGTGTATTGTATATATTCTTGTGCAATGCAAAAAAATTGGACTAGAACATCTTTCTATGATATTTCGTTGGCTTGTGAACTAAATTCCATATTTGGAAATATAATTTGTTCATTTTTGAAATTGCTTTTGGGCTTTGCGGATGTACTGCGTTCAACAGGTGGCCATGAAATTCGCAGACTTTGATGAGGGCTTCTTCTTTTTTTTTCATCATGCAACAGTGTTCTGATCGCATAATGCTAAGATTTTAGTTTTTTTTGAACAATGATTGTGGCTACAAGTTGATGGTTTTGATCTACGTTTTATGCCATTTTACAAAGGCATATCGATTTTTGAGACTTTGAGCCGGTAAAGGAATTCTCGAAACATAGGAACTCAAATACATCAACAGTCATAATTTTGTTTCCCGGTTGAAAGCAGGCAGGGATTCTGATCAGGTGAAGAAGGAGAGGTCTGAAGAAATGCAGCTGTCATATAAATGTGAATAACCCGTACTTTGATAGCACAGTTATGCAGGGAATATAGGCAAACTTTCTCCTTTCAGATATTCATAAGCTCAACGTCATCAGTTTTGCACCTCTTCAGCTTGTTAGCAACTTTATGACGTATTGTTTCTCCAATGAAGCTATAAAAAACATTTTGAAGCTTTTAAAGATATCTTTAATTCTAGCAATGGATTTTACCAGCAGCCATGGTAAACATTCCTACTAATTTAGCAAGCTAAAGAAGTTTTTTGTACCATTACAAAGAGCTGGAAAATTTTTTTAACTCTACAGGCTGTAACTTTTCAATCCTAGCTCCTGTGGTAATCGGGCACTTCGACTTCGCAACTTTACCTTATTAAGACAGATACAATTCTGAACGGCAAATTCAGATCCGCTCTCCGATACCTCAGGTGTGTTGCTTATGAGACTTACTGAGAAGTTTTTGTTAGGAGATAATCCTTACTGATATGATTTCTCATCGGTTTCTACCCAACCACTGTAATGTATGTTTGTGCTAATCAGGCCATATCTGTCCTGTGATTTCAAGGCACATTTTGCATTATATGAAATTATAATAAGCGGCTTAATCTGAAGTTGTGTGGAGTTTGTCCGTTACGAAATTACAGTGAGGAATGATTTACAATAATAAACAGCAGGTGAGGTTGAGATAGCGAGTATGGTTCATTTTTAACTACGGCTCCCACGTTGCAGTCAACCGAACAATGATCTGAGGGACAAGCTCTGAGACAGTGAGTTTACCGCGGTTCATGATAGCCAGTGCGAACCTCTGCGAAGCAGAGGTGAAGCACTGGTATGAAATAGAGCTGGTGATTGGTAAAGTAGATCACCACGGCTTCATCCGCTCTCTCTCTACACTTACTGAAGAAACTTGCCACAAAGATCTCCGCATTAATCCGCTCAAACATCATGACATAAAAACTTTTATTTTTCGCAAACATTGATGTAGGAAATGTCTTACAGGGGAACGATCCCAACTTAAGGTGGCGAATTGGAATGAACCTCATACCATTAGATGCGTCTTGATGAGCTGATTCCAAATCTGTCTTCCTTATCTGCGACACCGTTATCTGCAAAAAGTTATGAGCAGTTGAAAATGTGAAGTTATCGGGGTTTTAATGCATAATATGCTTTAAAAACCAACTTGGAAGTGCGCGACTAGCATGATATTGAGTGTACTGATTCCAGGGAATGCTCACATTCTAAAAAAAAAACAGATAAGTGTTTTTGAACAACTAATTTTCGAGGTATGGCGCTGTATATTTGCCAAATTTGGACTTTTCATTGCTCATAGCTTTTACCAGAAAACTTGAGTTGCTTTTTACCTGTTCAAAAACACTTATCTGTGTTTTTTTTTAACAATGTGAGCATTCCCTGGAATCAGTACACTCAATATCATGCTAGTCGTGCACTTCCAAGTTGGATTTCAAAGCATATTATGCATTGAAACCTCGATAACTTCACATTTTCAACCGTTCATAACTTTTTTGCAGATAACGGTGTCGCAGATATGGAAGACAGATTTGGAATCAGCTCATCAAGACGCATCACATGGTATGAGGTTCATTCCAATTCGCCACCTTAAGTTCAGATCGTTCCCTTGTTATACCCCTAAAAGTCACTGCAACACTCAGTTTTGTGGGGACAATTTAGTTTTACTCCATCTGTTGCTCTGCTGTATACATCGATTTGATTATTTCCTCCGACAGTGTTTTTGTAAGTGGTCGTCAGCGGCGGCCACAGACCAAAGAAATGTTCGTATGGGAGGTAGAGAATGGCAGAGGGAAGCGACCTTGGACGGTAAATTTTCAACTTTGTCTCTTCACCCCTTCGCTAATGTAACAAAAACAATTGTTTTTGTAATTCTGAGGGATATATTTTTGCATATTTTTCTGGTTGACGCTTCATCTTTTTCTCTCTGTAGTAGGTTATGACAATAAGTGCATTTTTAAGCTGGAGTTCAAAAAAGGGGAGTAGCTTGTACACTCACGCCTTCTTAAAGACGTTTGGATTTATGTGAAGTGGAACGTTATAGCCATCGAGGAGCTGCGGCTAGTTCCCGGTAGCGTTCCTGTAGGATAATCGAGAAGTTATGTTATACTGTCAATCACCATCACTGATTTCGTTTACGCTCAATTCATAACCAACTTCGGCAATTAATTGATCAAATGAGGTTCATTCCAAGATATTAACTCTTCATAAGGAGGGAAAAGATCTACGATATAGCAGCAAAGTTGACCTTATGCGTTTGATTTCGCTGGTAAAAGGGCGGCAAACCTGTTCAATGTACACCAGCATCATTACTGCACTATCACGCGTCTGGAATTTTTGCTACCGGGGCTTCATCAGTTCATCTAAAAACAAGCACCGTACGTAGAATAATCTATCGTTGCATTCAGATATTCTTCCAAAATCTACGAAAATAATCACTTGCGATATTTCCTGGTATTTGTTTTCCGCTTTTGGGCTGTCTTGGTGCAAATTGATCCAAGTGATATGATTCCCTTTTTCGGCAAAAATGCGAGTTTTAAGATTATTTTTTTATGACTCTACTCTAACAACCAGTTTAAACCACAAAGGTAAAGCGTAATAATATCTAGACTTTTTCAGCTGCCATATCACACTGATGCATTCTAATCCATAAAAGTTATCTTACAGAGTTCAGATTTTTATTCGTTTTGCGATTGTGGCTCAAAAAAACCACCTACCAAAAGATCCCGTTGTCACTCTATGAGATCTCTTTCATCTGCATATCGCCACCAATCTACAAACAATCAATGACGCCCTCATCGTTTGCGCTGAAACCTCCTTGATCTTCAAACAATTACGTAAGAATTGGTGGAACGAATATTTTGAATTACATTTTTCATTGATTAGACAGTTGACAGCCGTGATCTGCGTCCTCATCCGTCTTCTGTACTCTAAAAAACGTTCTTTACTTCTTCGTTAACTTATTGACTTTAGATTATAATTGATTGCATGAGCTTTTGTAGCTAAGATTGGAGAAATTTTTTGGCAGTGAACCAAATTACGCAAGACCAAATGTGTTTTGCGGAGATGTTATTCGTTTGAAAAAATCAGCTGATCGGCATCAGCTTCCGTCTTACACTGGAAATTAGCAAGCTTCATGACTGTGATGGTAATGCAATTGATCTGATTTTTGGATCATACAGAAGTATCAAGTAGCATTTCAGTAATTTCATTCACAGCAGATTCGCTTATTTGATATGAAAATTTATCGATTTGCTTTCGTCTCGCTGAAATTGTGGCAATCTTTCTGATTTTATTGAGCTGTGTTTTGATATTCTCTATTTGCATTTCTACTCTCTAATTATGAAAGTACAAGGTATATTCGTTATCGCTGATATTTTCTATCTGCATCTGTAGTCTCCAATTTTGAAAGTCCAAAATCCTACTCATTTCCATATCTCTTTTCCGTTAGGGAGCATTCTACTCTTTTGCTACGCTGTTATACACACTTGGAAACGTCGCTTCTCTGTATTTCCCCTTTCTAACAAAAAAAAATCACAACCACTGAAGAACAAGACAACATAGTTAAATTTTTGATTTTTTTGGAATTTGATGTTACCGTTTTCTCACATAGAATTCTCAACATGCGATATTTAGCATACCGCCGCTGAACTTCTGATCTCGTCCTCCTCCTCCGTCAAAATTTGCGCAGAGAAGTCGGACTCAAATACAATGAAAATTTTGCAGTAGTAGTTGCAGGCATAGTTATACCCACTAATCATCGCTTAGAGGAACTTAGCTTGCGTTATCTCCCAGTCAATAGAAAAGTTTTTCAAGCTTTAACAATTGTTTTCGATGCGCAAGATCTACGAACAGTAAGACCGTGCGAAAGAAAAGTTAAGTCTGATTTCTCTAAAATTAAACGTGATTCGAATAAATTTTTGCAGAAGCCTACGTTTTGCTTCCTAGAATAGTGCTTCTTTTGTCCGTTATCCTCTCATTTTACTCACTATTCTCTAAATTGTCTATCTACTTGTGCGCACTTATTGAGCATTTCGTAAATAAAAAAGCACCTTCTAATACTTTTGACAAGCAATAACTTTCAGTGTTTTCATGCCTCTATCTTCAATTCTCGACCGATGGAAATGAGTTGTGACGTGCTTATAAACGTTGATAAAGGTTCGAAACCTAAAGCCACTCTGTTGAAACAGGTAAGTTTCTTCTTACCCTGCTTACTGAAAGACAAGTACAGGCTAAATTTTGCCTCTTTTGGCCTTACTGGATCTAAACCCAGCAATGAGCTTGGTGACACTTTTGAAAGGAAACGTTTTCTCACCTTGCAGAACATTTTCCGCACGAGTCGTACGGTCTCGACGCGACGCTCTGCGCGTTATGTTTTTTTCTTGGTCAAAATGCACCGTAGACCGTTCCCGTACTTTCACGCAGTTGTAGGCGGGAAAGAATGAATGGGAGCAACAAAAAGACGAGAACAATTACGACTCCATCCTCTCCCCTGCTGAATACTTGATAGCCGTTACGTCGAGCAGGCGTAATCAACGTCGAGTAGGTGGTCATCAACATTTCCGGGACGAGTTCTCGTTTCCGGCTAGAATTGTTACCTCCACAATTGAGTCATTCATTAGTAGGGAGGGTGTATTTTGACTTGTATTACGTTTATCTTAGCGGATAATCTCGATGCTTCAACTTAGCCTGGACTATTAGGTAAGTCCAAAAATTCGTGAAGTTTTGTTTGGACTAATCTGCAAATTCCTTAGACAAGCTAACATTTTAAGTACCCTTTGGAGCCGAATTTTTTGCTCTTTTCGATAGCAAAGCTATGCTTTTGATAGCTATGCTTTTGATAAGCTCTCAGTGACTCAGGTCATTTCGAACCTATCGTTTTTACCTCTCCTAACTTCAGCCAACTGCCAGAATTTGCCACTTTTCATATTTGAAAAAATCTGTAAGATTAGTAGATAAAGCAAGGCTCTCACAAGATAATGGTCTCCTCGCATTTGGCCAGCTTACTTTCAGAGTTGCTGCATAATTTTTTTGGGTGGGCATGACATTTGGTACCTAAAAGTCGTAGAACAGCAGCAAGTAAGCAACTTAGCTCAGGTACCGTTTGGTCATTTCCCTTGCTTCCTACTGTCATTTTTTTCTCTGCGATGCCTGAAAAATCTTAGTATTTCTCGTATTTCTAGAACAATAATTGCTCATTTGCTTCTTAAATTTACGTCATACTAGTGAACCAGCAATCTAAATGTGTGAGATTAGCAGGCGCGCGCTTCGGGACCCACCGCGGTTTCCCACTATCTGATGTTTTTTGAATTGGCGGTACGATTCTTTATACATTAGAAATGCAATTCTTTCACCCACGACTTTCATAAAGATATAAGGGAAAATTTTGAAAGGTCACTGCGAAACACATGGGGCGTTTACCAGGTCCTGACAATTAATTATTTAATAAAAACCGCGACTTTTTGATTACGTTTACCTCGCAAAAGTACCGAAAATTTCAAAGAGCTGCTTTTTCAAGGCAAATCAAACTTGGTCATGTTGTATAAATAATATTCAATAAAAATCAGTTTTCAATTCGCAGAAACTTTGAAAACTTCCTTGTATTTGCTGCAGTTGCGTGTTTCATGACCGTGCCAAAAATCGAGACCTCTTAAAAAATAATTTTTTTCAAGCTAAAAACAGCAGATTAGGAGAATCTAAAAATATGACCTTGTAATCCGAGAATTGCTCTATTAGAATCATGCTTATTCATTTTAGAAACTTTAGGATGAAATTTTTGAAAATTACCTGAACTTCGAGCAGATAAAATTGGCGGATGGAGAATTTTAACAAATATCGAAAAAAGCATACAGCATTGTGGCTCGAGAATGTACACATGCATAAGAAAGGAAGAAAAAGCTGCATCGAATGCATGTTGAAACTCATTCAGATGTTTACTGTGCGTGGTTTTATAGTGGTTTGAAAAAACCGACAAATTTCGGGATAACCTAATATAATAAATTTTGTAAAAGGCACTACATAGTTGGTGTGCACCTTCATCGATCATTAAATGATTAATGATTAACCACTAGGAAAATTGACTCAGTCATACTTGGCCGTCTTTTCTTTGCCAGGTATCAAATCTTTTGTGTCCGTTGTATGCGACAATTCACTCTTACTCAGTTGTCTGCATTGGAACTATGCCAGAAAATACAGCCAGTGAAGCGCGTAACACCACTTTTCAAATCTCATACACTGTGAGCTTTTGATCCGATTTGCGTAAGTCCAGACATTCGGCCCATTGAAGGAGCCGTTTGTTGGGACGGATCAGAGGCATAAAGGACAACCACCTTCAGTCTTTCATGAATGGAATCTTTTGCACTTGCACCGGTTTTTCGGAGAAGTGCGATAATTTATGTACTTCAGCCTCATCTTTCTCTTTGTGTGACAATGATCGTTATTTGGAATTTCACATTATCTTTGCTTACCATTTTGCAGGAAAAAGTTGGATTTCTAAGTGCACGCTTAGCAATAGAGTTTTATCAGAATTCAATTACGGTTGTATTGAACTAATTTTTTTGGTAAACAAAAGGTAAAGATCCAAAAAAATGTCAGCTTCAGAGCGGATATTTTTTCATGACGATCTATAAGCAATTAGATTTCTGCATGTTGCAAAGCTAACTCTTATACATGAAATTTGGTCTTGCATGCATTGAAATGCAAAAGAGCTCTTTGGTACACTGGTGCTCTTTGTATTTACTAATTTAGAGTAGTTTGATTTTATCTTGTACAGTCTCTTGAAAATTTGACAAAACGTTCATCGAACTCTTGAGTCAGATTTGTAATAATTATTATTCTAGGGGCTGTTCTTTCCCAAGCGATACGAGTTCTCTCGTAGCAGTAGCATGAGGCCTTACCGTACTTGGAAACAGCAATTCATGAGCGATCGATGTTGTAGCGAAAAGGAATTTCTCAAAGAAGTAAGTGACATTAACGTCTATGATTTCTCAGACGCTATTAGGTCTTTGCAAGGTAACCACATTTCCAAAAACATTTTTGTGGTTGTTCCATATCAAGCGTTTCCTTTTTTCTGACATTGCTTCTTTTTAATACTCTTCAATTTCACTTCTCTCTCTCAAACGTATAGCGGTTTATTCCAAGAGTTGTTACCCGTATTATTGTTCATAAGTCTGGAAGATCATTATATAGTACATAAAATCGCCATAGGTCTTGATAATTTTGGCCCACTTGATTTGAAATTATAAAAATTGATGCTGATTTCAACTCCTCTAGATTTCCTTTAGCTTATAGAGAAGTTTCTGAGCGTGAAAATGCTGTGGTGTTCTGTATAACCTTATGCTGACTACTTTGACAAGAGGATTGCAAATATAATAGAAATAAATTGAGTAGAAAAAGTAGTTTTCTTTTGCGCTGACTCAATATTTCATCCATTACTGCAGTTATTTCCACCATAATTTACATATTCATATATTACAGGTGCTCATTGCTGCGACCCCTCACATACTTCTCAACTTGTTATTGGTCTCTTATCTCATTTTTGGTGCTGTCTTTATGCGTTATGTCGATGAAAGCGTTCGGAAAGAAGATTTCCAACCAGCTCTGCTCTTCACCTACACAACAATCATGACTATCGGTTGGTCATCGTTTCACTTTGAGGTCCATCATTTCATTCTTCTACTCGACACTGATATTTCGGTTCACACAAAACTTCTTCTTTGAATGAACTCAAACCAAATCTCAAATTTTTGTCTTAATTCATACGTTGCTGGCCAAAACTATAGATCCACTCTAGTAAATGTGAAACTAACTCTTTTGTCAATGAATCGATGTGAAATTTGGTACAGCTAGGTTTATATCAGTCTACTATCAGCATCGCAGGGCGGGTCCCGTCCTCGTTCTACTACGCACCAAAAAATCAAAAATATTGGAAAAAACAGGCTTGAAGGCTCGCCAAAATTGTAGATCCACCCAATGCCTCCATTCAGCAAAGTACTTCTTGACTTCCTATGCCATTCATGTAGATGCATAGTCAAGTGTAAAACAGCTGCTTTTCAATTGAGCTGTGCTGCAGTTTCAGAAAGATTGCCTTTTTTAGCTTAAAAGTATCTCCAAATATACTTTGATTTTCAGAAATGTCTTTGACTGAGAAACCTTGCATCTCAGCTAATTTAGAAGCTGCGGGTCTTCATTTATCTTCCATATGCTTAGCGACGTGAGCACTGGGGAAATATTTCGACTTTTCGCTATTGAAGCAAACCCAACTTCAAGATTACTGCAGCCTAAGCTGAATTCTCGCGAGCTCACGACATTTCTCACATAAAAAGAAATCTGTACATTATAATCACATTTGTTCACGAAGTCGTTTTTCCATTTCCACAACATAAGCTGCGCAGATTAATGGAGGTGTTGAGCAGTCTCAAAATAGCTTACCTAATGCTACCTTTTTGAGTTGTCAGAAGTATTTACCTACTAGATAGCGAAAGAAGCCTATTTTGTGTGCTACCGCGTGTTTCTTTTGATGTTTGGACTGAGCCAGTGACAACTTCAAAGTTATTTATGATCAACAGTTGTTGGGTGATTACAGCAATCATGCCTACCTGCTAGGGCTCAGTAGAATTCTGTAACTGTGGTAGACGAACTACCATTTATACAAACAATGCCTCTACTTCAACTCGCGCTCATAAGACATTGCCGAACGAAGTTATAGGCAAAAATTCGGACCTAGGCCTGCAATAATTTTGAAGTTGGGTTTGCTTCAACAGCGAGCTCACGTCGCTAAGCATATGGAAGATAGATGAAAACTCGTTGCTTCTACATCAGCTGAGAAAGCAAGATTTCTCGCTCAAACACATTTTTGAAGATCAAAGTACGTTTAAAAGTATCTTCAAATCAGAAAAACAGGTAATCCTTTCTTTTGAAGGTGTAGCACTATTCAGTTGAAGCAGATGTTTTACATTTTGACTACGTATCTATATGAATGACTTTGGAAGCCAAGAAACCCCTTTTCTGACTAGAAACTCTGGATGGATCTATAGTTTTGGCCATTCAAGCTGCTTTTTTCCAATATTTTTGATTTTTGCGTGCGCAGTAGAATGAGAAGGGAACCCGCTCTACAAAGCTGACTAATATACATACAGCTGTATCAAATTTATCGATCACCTACCTTTTGACTCAATACTAGCACTAAAAATACTCCTTCTTCATCCATCTCATAAATCTTGCACCAATAGCCCTCAGACTGTGAACTTAAAAAGAAGGCAAATTCTCATTTGTCCTACTTTTCGAATTATTACTTAGAGCAAGGAACATGAATCAGTTTCAAATTAATCCCAATAAAACTAAGAGATTTATGCTATTAGTTCATAGTAGAAACATTGTTCGCTAAAAATGTGCGGCGTAGTCAATAGAGAAATTAATGGGGGCTCGCACAACCCAATGTGCCCTTTTTTGGGTTGTGCTGCACTAAAAGCGAATAATATAGCCAATGAAAGAAAGCTGTAATCAGAAACATGTTTCGCACAGCATACCAGGTCTGTAGTGGTCACCAGGAAAGGATAGAGTCATTGACGCTTACCCGCAGCATAGCTTCTTCTAATGTGTATGCAAATCATGCAAGGGCGCCTAGGAGTAAAAGAGAACAACATCGCGTGGTCAGTGAATACCCCGCAGTCGAAAAAGTAGCCTTCTGCATTCCCTTTATCTCCGATGAAGTAGGCACTGCAGTGCGACACTGTCTGAGGAGGGCAGGGCTACAAAGTTCTGTTACGATTGTAGAATAGCCTCCGAGCAATTTGAAGAGCTTACTTCGCAATCGTATCTACGATCGCACGTGCACCACGCCATATTGCGTCCCCCCCCCTCAGGGCAGAGGTAGGGATTGCATGGCTACCGTGGTCATCTATCTGATCTCTTGCGAGGAGTGCGGCGAGGAGTCCATAGGCGAAACGGCGCGCCCGCTATGTGTTCGCACCAAAGAGCACATGAACGGCAAAGATAAATCGCGCACATCCACTCCTTTGGGCTCTCACCGAGTACAGAAACATGCGAGGACAAATTTCGGAATTTCGGTAAAAATTTTAGCGTACGAACCTCAAACATCAGCGCGAAAGTGTTTGGAAGCTTTTTGGACTCACGCTAAAAATTCCAAAAATGAATCGCAAAGAGGAATGCCTGGCGATCACGCGTGAACTCGCACCTTACCTAGGTCAGCTCTTCTTACCTAGCTTTTCACTATAAATAGTGGTCCCTCACGCGGTCATTAGTCATCTCGCTCTCCCATCAAAAAGCTCTCCGGCGTAACCTAAAAGGTGGGTGTTTGGTTAAATGCTATCAGCTGAGATAGTGATCAAACCTAAGTCTTGGCACTTTGCTCACTCTGCTGCAGAGACGTTGTCGAATGGATTGCAGATCGTATTACCCATTTCAGACTCTGAAGAAGGCGATCTGCCGAAACGTTAGCCCAATAAAGTATTTAACAATTTCGTGTACGGCTCACAAGAAGACACAGAAAATAGCATGATACTTTAACCGAATAATATTGGGTTGTTTCAGAAGTTCTACCCGTTTTCGAACTTTGACTTTGATTCACCGTAACTCTTCTTAGAAACAATCTTTGCAATTGCTATGAACTGTATTACAATCTGCACTTTTGCTATTCTGCGCACTCTTCCAGATTATTGCAGTAACAGTGGAGAAGATTTTATAGGCGAAAACCGACGAACATCTGCTTGTAGAAACCTTCATTTTGCAAAAGCATAACTTGATTTGAGATATAGCTGAGTTGCACAAGCACTGCTCACAGTGTAGGCCATAGTCGACTGAGTAGTACTGCTAACTTTGAATTTCACCAAACTCTTTCATAAAAATTTTTTGCTGAAAAATCCGAAAGGACCCACTTATTTTGCTCTTTCTGAGGCGGCAAAAAATGCAGTTTTCGATATTTTTTATTTTGTTCGCCGTTGACAAACCAGGAAATCTTTTCGTTCTTGTAGTAGCAGTTGTTCTAGCTCTAATCTTACTATAGAGAGTAAAAGTTATGCGGTTGCAAAAAGTTTATGGTTTTTATGCGGCTTGAAGGGACCATAAAGGCAGGTTATGTTTGAGCTAAAAATTTGTTGGTTCAAAGTTTTTCTGAAATCATATCTCAATGAGCATTTCGTAGCGCAAGTCTCCAGCAAATATTATCTATGTTTTAAAAGAAATTTTTTCTTTTGGCTGTAGATTTCACGGCGATAGAGCAAAGACGAAAACTTTCACATGTGTTTTGCTGTTTTTTCAAAGTACGCAACCACACAGCGAACAAAGATCTATGAAAACGAGAATATGCCTGAAAGACTAGAAGAAAAGAGGTTTTGAATGATATAAGCACCGTTTATGAAAAATGGTCTCTTCCTCCATAATCGGCAGTTCAAAAAAGGTATCGAAAACGGGTAGAACTTTTGAAACAACCCAATATATGTAGAATTCGATAGCCTTCTCGCTGTTTTCACAGGAATGATTTGAGCCTGATTCGTAATTCTTTCTAGAAACGAGTAATGATGTTCAGTGTTCTCACAAGTGTTTTGCGAGATATCTTTACTTATAGTTAAAATTTCGCTCATAAATTATAATTCCTATTATTCAAATTACTCTATTGTTCTACATAATAGTTGGTAAAGCACAGCCATCAAAAGCGAAAAATGAAGCAAACAAAATCGGTTGGCTCGTAATTCCATAGTTTGAAGATCTCTTGGAGCGGAATTTCTGCAGTGGACAAAGTGCTTCGTATTGAATGCAAAAAGAGGTAAACTCACCTCTGAGACAAAGTTAATCAAGTCCAAAAATGAACCTCAGTCGGCCCAATATTTGGAAACTTCAAAGTTCTCGAACTTAGTCCACAGGCGTTGTTTGACATGATAATTATAGATATTTTACGCGTTACGCTTGGTAGGGCTTTTAAGTCTAGCTTAAGTGTGTAATAAGGGGATCTTACATCGAAGCAAATGGATTCACGCAAATGCATTCACTAAGTGGAAGAGCTCCACTTAAAAACGAAGTGCAAATCAAAAAACTTCAGACAGCACTTAAAGGCAGTGTCCGGGCAAAAAGTCGATTTTGAGATTTTGTGCTTACCCGGGCCTATTCGCTATGCTGAATCCGAAAATCCACATTGGAGAGCGCGAAAACGACGAAAAAGGGCTCTAATACTGGAGGGAAATCAGCAAGTGGGCGGGGTCTTCCCCACGGTGAACTCACGCTCCCAGCTTCGGCGGCAATCTTTTTGATTCCGGTTACAATTTATTCGTTTGCACTTGATCGGTGGTGATGTAAGGGCGGCTAACGGATTCGAGAACATTGCTCTGGAAGCTGGAAGCGTGAATTCACAGTGGGGAAGACCCCGCCCACTTGCTAATTTCCCTCCACTGTTAGAGCCCTTTTTCGTCGCTTTCGCGCTCTCCAATGTAAATTTTCGGATTCAGCATAGCGAATAGGCCTGGGTAAGCACAAAATCTCAAAATCGAGTTTTTGCCCGGACACTGCCTTTAAGGGGAGGGGGAGGGGTCGGATCTGGCGATCGTGTGCCACCACACCTGTTGCTTGACCCTGGCTATTGAGACCCTACCTTCGATACCTTTTTGGGACGCCCTGTATATGTATGTGCAGGCTATCGCACAGAGATCGTTGAGATAGGCAAGAGTTTGCTCGATAATGATACGCATAATTTCTGTTATCTATACCAAGATTTCTGAAAAGGCCCGCGCTGCCTCGACGGTTTTCTTCACTGATCAAAACTTTCACTCCATTGTTTTTGCATTTTCATGCGAGAACAAAACCTGTTACAGTAATGCGTTGCTTCATCCTATATACGAATGTTCTAACTAATCTTTTGGGGCTAGCTAGCATTAGTTGGATTTTGGAAATAAGCAGAAAATTACAAGTGCTTTTTTTGAAAGCTTTATTTTGGATGGTTGGTCCGCCGAAGGCTGGGATCAAGGCATATCGTAAAGCGCAAGCCTTCTTTTATTTTTCAATGCAGAAACTTGGATTTAAGTCCACATTTAGTAAATATTTGATCCATTTAATTTGAAGAAGATTCACCAACCTAATAGTGAATAACCGATAATAAGCCGCTGCGATGAATAATGAAGCAGGCACTTCGTCATTTGCAACTTTTCGGAATTTTTACTGCAGTCATTTGTGTCCATTAACAAACTGTTTTGCACTTGATATTCCCTATGACGCTGATTTGACCGCTCACGACTTTTCATAAAGTACACGCAGACATTTACCAGCTCTGCCTTAAAATGGAAATATTTTGCGGGATACAATCTTTACAAAAAGTCGTTCTCAACCTTGTGTCTTGAGTATTGAGTTTTATAAAATTATCCAAAATGTTTCTTTAACTCAAAAAATAACGTGCGCATTGTGAAAGAGATGGAAATAAGAGTGGATGCGAAATGACAGCAAGTCAAAACTTCCTATTTTTCTTCCTGTACCACTACGACTTTTTGTAATCCAAGACTGGTACGGGATATCTGAAGTGTGCAATACGCTTTAATTCAAATGTCAATCTGGAGTCATTCTTCTCCGAAATTTTCAGCCTTTTGAAATTAATTTATGGTTTCAATAAAGTAGAGCAAATTTGGGGTATATAGCAAAGAGAATTATGCTTCGTTTCTATTCTTATCTTAGACATGCAGTTGTGTTAATAACTGCATTTAGGTTATGGTAGCATTTACCCCACAACCACGCAGGGGAAAATTTGTTGCGTTGGTTACTGTGTCATTGGTATACCGCTAATCTTCTTGGTACTATCAAATAACGGCCAATTTGTGGTGGATGCATACTGGATTCTACGCAAAAGCGCTGGAGGCAAGGTAGCATTTAGCTTACATTAATAAAAAAATTCAAGTTTATTTTCTAGGTGCAAGCCTCCAAAAGTCTACCACTGTGGATATCAGCGCTGTTGTTTTGCGCGCATTCGCTTATGGGCGGTGTCATTTTCAACACGTGGTTGGGACAAATGCGATTCTTCGATGGAGTTTATTGCAGGTAAAAATAGTTTTTTCTCCTCGGCGCGAGTTGTCTTTCTTTGAAATTGATTTCGTCTTGTAGGCCTAAGAGGGCCCGGCACAAGGTGGGCAAAAAAAGCTTTTCAAAAAAATTACCTTTTGACACCAAAATTTTTTTACGAATCTCCATGAAATTCTCTTCAAAAATAAAATTGAAAGGAAATCTCTTGACAACAAGAACAAAAAAAATGTCGAGATTGTTTCAGAGACCTAACAATGAGATTGAGAAAACCTGCGCACCGTATAATTCCTGCAGCGTTGGCGGAAAAGGGAGAGGGGACCCTTTGCCTTTATATACTCGCACTACATCCTACACCCAGTCATTAATCTCCTCACACTTCAACTCTCATACACCCTCACCCTCACATAATGCTCCTACACTCCTAAACTCCTACATGCAGACTCTCACACTCCACTTTTCTCAACCTCATACACCTTCACCCTCACATAATGCTCCTACACTCCTAAACTCCTACACGCAGACTCTCACACTCCACTTTTCCCAACCTTTACCTCCTTGGAGACCGCAGCGAGGCGGACGAGTGCATGCACTTGCGCCAGAAGCAACGGCAAAAAAGCTCGTCGCTCCCTCAGCAGTGCACGTCCCTAAGGCGGCCTTCAAGACGATCTTCCCCTCCCCCACCCTCTCCCTCCTTTCGAAGTACCCCAAATCGCTTCGTCGCTGCTTTTAGGCGATAAAACACCCTTTTACACACTTTGAATAAGAATTGTGTAAGGGTGCTGGCAATAAAGTCTACGGCACCATAAATGCAGTCGGGAAGAAGTCGGCATAGAAAGTGCTGCAAGTCTTCAAATCGTAGACTGCTCTTCCGAGCCTCTTGATGTCACGTAAGCATTTGATTCGCAACAGAGTTCTTCGCAGGTCGAGCTCCGACAACATAGAAAAGGTTGCGCCATCGATCTGGAGTAAATATCTTTTAAAAAGGTAACATAAACAGCGTTGTAGAACTCTGTCTATTGGAAGAATGATCAAGAAGTAAGATTAGATTAGATGTAGATTTACGTGAGAAGAGATGCAATCATACACGTTCCACGCATATTATGCTAGCGTAAAGAACAGCGGAAGACACTAACCATAGGAAAAAAGTTCATGTGTACTTTTTTCACACACTCACTAGCGTTAAGGGCAGTGGCTCGGCAGTTTTTATTTCTGAGAAATTCTCACTTACTTGGGGTTATCCGAGGCGATGTTGCCGAAAATCCACCTTACAGAGCTTGAAAATGGCGAAAATTAAAATTCCGAGTTATTCAGTTTTGCCGATCCACTGCCTTTGAACAGCTTTTCAACCCAAGAGACTTGTAATCACTGTGTCGAAAAAATCGATAAGGATCAGTAGCAATCATAGGCGCAAACATAGGCATTAACTACATACACCTGAAATCAATGGCAGAACAATCTACAATCTAGAACGGACGAAAAAAATGTGTACACGAGAGAGAAAAAAGCAAGGGAAATGAAGAATTATTGAAGCAACGCCTTAGGACTGAGTGACCCCGTTCTCGCGCACGATTGAAGCGCGCTTTTCTCCTTAAGAAATCGTGCTGCTATGCTATTTTGAGCTCGTGCAAAGAGAGAGGAGGAGTTTCGAAACCAAAATCTTACCATATGGTGAATTTTAGGTGTAGAACAGATTTGTGTAGATATTTTGAAAAACTCATGTGAATTGGAAGTCTTGCCTACGTTCTCGGGCATTAGATGGACAATTGTCCGCCTAACTTAAAAAAAGTCAAACGCACTCTTTCCTCACGTAGGTTTCTTTGATTTTATGCTTTACTTCTTACAAGCGAAGGATACTTGGTCGAAGTGGCATTCCATATGAAATGTACACTATCTTATAAAGCATGAAAGGCTGAATCCAAATCTGCTTTCCGTATCTGCAAAGCGCTTCTGGGGGAAGAGTTATGAGAATTTTTCATGCAGAAATTTGAAAGGGCGGTTGCAATAAAATCATTCAAAATTTTAGTCCGTGTGCTCATATGGGACCATAATTACTTCTAGGGCCTTTTATGCGATAGATACCTTCAATCTAATAAACTCATGCCGTCATTACTCCTTTCGAACGATCTCAACACCTGCTTTTAACTTAGCCAAATCACTGTATTTTTACCTCAGAAAATTCCCAGAACTCTCCTCCCAAAAGCGCTTTGCAGATAAGGAAAGCAGGTTTGCAATCAGTGTTTCATGTTCTATAAAAGAGTATACATTTCACATGGAAAAGCCACGTCGACCAAGTATCCTTCTCTTGTTAGTCCCATCGCGCGTACACACACCAAGTTTCGTGCCATAATGTCATCTAAGGTTGCAAAAACGAGCCGTTTTTTCGTTTTTTGGTAGTAGGAAATTTGCAAGAAAAAAAGCTTGCCACAACGTTCAATCACAAACTTTTTCCATGGAACTTATTAAGTTAACTCCAATGTCCACGTAGTCACGAAGATGTATGTCATATTGTCATCCGTGCTTTGCAAACGAGCCGTTTGGACACAGACTTCCACTTTGTATTACGGAAAATTTTTGGAAGAAGCTTAATGAACCTCCCATTTACATGAGATTTCCCAGATAGTTTTCCCATACCTTTTTCGCACTGAAATATGTTTGCTGCCCATTTGGATATATCTTTACGTAAGCACTGAGAACTATCATATCGGCTGCTCCAAACGGCATCGGTCAGTCGATTCGCGCTTGCGACAGTGATTGTCGCGTTTCGACGTGAGCGGATCTGTTGGCGTTTAGCTTTATGAGAATCACTTCTCAAAGAAACATTAGAATAAGGTCATAAGCATGACTCGACCTCCTTTTGCTTGCACCTAGAACTTTTTCCAGGGCTCCTCTCCAGACCCTGCAAAAACGATACCTCCTTTGCTTTTTGACCTTGAAAAGGCTTCCAGCTTGACATCTGCCCACCTCGTGCCGCACCCTGTTTTTACATTAACCTAATAATATTGATAACACAATAACTTACCTTTTGCAGCTTCATATCCATTGCAACTATTGGCTACGGTGATTTTGTTCCTGTGCCCGATTCGTGGTTTCACACAGTGTCTATTATGGCCTTTCTCTCAGCAGGTGAATTTCAGTTTAATGGATAAATAACACTCTGTCTTTTCTAGGCGCCATCATTCTCACAACGCTAATTGACACTTTTAGCTACTATCTCAATTATGTGCATTATATTGGACGGTAAGCAATGTCGTTGATTTATTCACCATTGATTTCAGTATTGCTTCAGTGGAAAAATAAAGTCAGGATTTGAGATCTCAAATCTCAAAAGTAAACAAAACCACGCAAGGTTTTGAAGAATCTCTACTTGTTTGTGTGGTACCTAGTAACATTAAAATCAAAAAATATTTTACAGAAAATTCACTGGTACAAAACATGTCCAAATTTGGTTTGGCGGAAGAATGCTCACTGTTCAAGAACTGATCATAATTGTAGCCGATGAATTCAATGTAAACTAGATTAGATTGCAGTCACATCATCTCAGAATAGATTGCATATTCGTTTAGGTTTCTCCGAAAAAGCTCAGAACAATCATACACGATCTCGACAACATTCTTCAGGCAGCATGTGAAAATGGTGTCTATCCTAACCATGTGCATAATGTAAGTGATGGCCTTTACAAAATTGTTTTCACTGTTGTTTTATTTATTCAGCTAAAGAGTAGCGCCGATGCGTTGCATACAACTGCGGAGTTGGCACGAAAAGAAGTAAGTGTGTCTTTGTTATAATCATTCGTAACTCAAATAATGGTGTAACATGTAGGTCGAACATTTTCAAGAAAAAATTACGTCAGCAAAATCCGTAGAATTTGTGCTTTTGCTGCTGATACCAGAAACTGACCTTGTGATTATGGTTCAGTTTCGTAGCAATCAGTGTTGCACAAACGTCTTTCACCGTCTGCAATGGAAAAAATTGACAAGGAAATGATCAGTTGAAGCTGCCATTTCAAACAATTTAACATTGGACGCAGCATAGATAGAACGCTGACTCCACATCTGTCTTCTCATACCTCTAAACGCCATTGGGCATGAAAGCTGTTTTAGTGCGAGGAAATCTCACACACACTTTGCTACAAATGCCTTCTTCTGAACTTAGATATGGACTCTTGAAGTACCTAGCTGCATTTTTTAGCCCTGCATCAAATCAAACTTGAATCTGTGTGCATTCGCACTTATACTGATCTTTGCAATATATTGTCTCATAACTTCGATCAGATTTCAGAATTCCCTAATCGCAAGTTAAAACAGGTCAACTATTTGCATAATTCTATTAGGTTGTTCCATATGTCTTTTCATATTCGAAACTTTTGGGACAACCTAATATAACTCGCGTAAACAATCTGGCGCTAATGACTCACTCTGGAATGACGTAGATGCGTCATTTGGTACAAAAAATTTTAACATGCTCGCATAGTGTATCCCGGCCAACTTCATGGGTACCGCTGCGGCGCATGCGCAGCACGCCCTCTTTCTACTGCTTTGCGTCTCCGCAAAAAGTAGCAAGCATTGTTCAAGAGGAGTTGCAGTGTGAGAGGTAAAGAGCCTACTCAATCACTTCTGAGAAGGCCTTATACAAGACTAGTGCTTGTAACGCCTTTCAATGAATCTCAAATTTTATGTGGGCCGGATCTAGAACCTTCAATGATGGGTGCAGTATCAAATAGAATTAGATGCTTACAAAGAACAACAGAGTTGTTTTTGCAACTTTTCTATTTGATGACCGTAGCAAAGTTCAACCATTAGATCTCGAACACAAGCGCATTTGGTCAAGGCTAAGATCTCTTTGACAATCGAAAATATGAAATCTACCAGTACACAGTCGTGCTTTGGATAAGGTGCTCTAGGCGACTTCTCCTCACAGACTGTTGAACCTCAACTGTTAAAGGAGCCAGAAATCAAGGATAAAAACTCTTGAGAACACGTTAAAGCTAATGATTATCCATTGTCGTAGGTCAGCCACACCTGAAATGGAGAATTTATTAGGTAACAACGGTAAAATAGAGAGGAAATCAAGAAATGCTTATCCGGAACCAAAAAGCAAAATCGTCGAGGTCAGCTGCGCCGTGTGCGCGTCGCAGAGGTTCCTATGGGAAGCTGGCGAGGCACACTATATCATCGACTTCACGATACGTGTAAAGACGGGGTCTTGCCAACTCAAATCCTGATGCTTTTTGATTGCGAGAGAGTACGAAGAACAATGCTACGAGTGGAGGTTCAATAAGTTCATCCTTGAAATCAAAGTCTGCAACCCTCCTATACACGAATCGTGGAGACGATCATGGCTAATTTGGTTCAGATCAAACCATGGTTGTCTTCTGCTAGATTTTTAAAGCTTGCATTATTTGCAATCAAATATTTAACGCTGTCTGCTTATGAATCAAACAAGGCTAATATTCTGAGTGGCATTAGAACTTCATTTAGAACAACTTGAAACTTACCATCTACGCAAATGTGTATGTATGACCTTGAGGAAGCAGTGAGTATCATTCCAGACGCGCATAGCTATGCTCGAAAATGGCAGTCGTCAGATCATGCTCATGGCAGAAGAAAAGGCAGAAACTTCTCCTGAGCCAGACATTGAAACAATACCTTGGAGAGAGAAGCGAAGCCCAAGCGTTCAGAGATTAATCGTCAGGGACACGGAGAATGTAAGTTATTGAGGAAGAGACTTAATTTGATTGAAACATGCTTTTTACAGGCTCTACATGCTTTGCGAGTTATGCATCATAAATTGAACAAGAAGCCAATTAAACATCAGATGGAAGAGAGACGAAGAATTGCTACATGATAGCTCACTCATCGTAAAGGTTTGGATTACGCGCTCAGTTGTGGAAACTTCGGTGTTCTACGTTCTTATGCTATTTGCACTCAACGGGTCGATTATATCTCACATATTAGCGTTTGATGATAGAATATAATCATTTTGCGTACAAGATTTTGATATACCGCATCCCTATTGTATAGGATTATGAAAGATCTGAAGAACTATCCAGGTAAATATAAGTTGTGATACTTCGTCTCTCACAAACAATTTAATATATACACAAATAACTTTTGCTATGATCTCGATCTACCATGTTGCCTTAAGTGCCCCATATTATCAATAAAAATTTTCGCCTTACGTCTTCATCAGTCATCGATTACTTTCCAATCAGATAGCAAATGGTTATTGTCAAAGGAAACATAAAGGAAACCTTTAAAAGTAGAAGTCTTGCTTGGTAATCTTTGTCATAAACATTACCGGATTTATAAACAATTTGACATAGTTTACTCCGGAAGCATGCTACAGTTCTTTCGAAATGATTTATCCTCCAACACGTTGACGTCGAGCCTTTTTTCAATGTCTGTCTTTGTAAACGAGAGGTTTCCGTGCACTTTCACGCCTGGTTTGATAATTACAATTACCGCTATATCTGCAGTCCCAACAGTACAGATCCAATTCGACTTTCCACATAGTACCGTCTACTTCTACCTGGAGTGGACCACCTCGCAGCTCGATCAGTCCCCACTCAAATCGGTAGGATGTGGAGAATCTCTGCTAAGCTTTCGCTAAACTAACCTGCTGAAATCGGCTTCTACCAACTTTCCTGTGGGCTCAAGGCGACTTTAAATGATTCCAGCGATAATGGAATTGAAGTAATTATCGACATCACGGGGTGCTAATCCATGTACGCACAAGCATATGGGTCACATTTTTCTATTCCCATCTCAAGATAGCTAGTTTACTTGGACAACCTTTTTGGACGAAGACCATCCGTGGCGATAACATAAGTTTCAAAACATTCGCTTCAAAGTTCCTTGGGCTTTTTATGTGGCTATAATATCCGTCAAAAAAGCGCAGGTCGTCACGGGTATTGTCTGCAGCGCCCTAGATAGATAAAAGAATGAAGCCTAAACAAAAACAAGCATATTGGTATCAAAATAGAAAAGGTTAATAAAGAAATTGTGTAGAAGCCCTTGCGATTTGTCCTATATCACGGACCAGGATGTTTGGAAGATGTGGTTTAAATGATAGCAAAAGGTCTTCCACTCCTTTAGATTTCTTTGCTCTTTTCACATTCACCCTAAAAAATATAATTTATTTCAACCTTGTGAAGCAGAGGTTTCAAAGCTAATACAAATATACAGCACAACTGATTTACACATGCCGCTTGCTCTTTTGTCAGTTCCATGTGTTGCACTGGCAGCAGTATAGATACCTTTTGTTGTTGTAAGTCTCCAAAATCTTGCTGTTAAACAGGGCGACACGACCACAGCACTATGCAAAAATTAGCTTGTCGAAAACGGGCAAAATGTGAAACAAACCGAAATAGGTGTTTCCCTTTCTTGAAGAACATTCATCAATTTTTCATTCCACTTTATCTGTACCTCGGACATCTCAAAGTGCTGTACATGCATTGCATAGTACAGTATGCGGCCTCGAGTGGCTTAATCGAGATAATGCTAAATTATAGCCATCATTTTGAAAGCGAAACTAATTAGAACACTAAGAGGTCTCTCTTTGAACAGTCTCTTGCTCTCCTTCTTCCACTCGTCCGTCTGTTCCTGCATTGTTGAGCTGCTGAATCTATTTGGATGATTTGTAGCGGTGGCATCATAACGGAAGCCATTGTATCATCAAAACTGTCTCTTCCCATTCTTCTGGTTTAAACGCGAGAAGACTCGCTCTTCTGCAAGCATTTGCAATTGTCAAGATATGCCTCGCTGAAATTCTCTTCCATGTTATCTAAAACTGCATTGCATTACTTATAGAAAAAGCCCTTATTTCAACATGTTGTGGAACTGGAAACTGCGTACTGAATGGCATACCGTCCAGCTCTTTGTCTAGGCAAAGCACTAGCTAGTAAGGGAATGTTTATGAGTTCTTAATTAACCTGGCCTATTTTCACGTGTTTAGCGCTGATACGCTAATACGACTCAATGAACGATAATTTAGGCCACAACCTACATTGCTACAGGCATAGACATATTTGATGTTATGAATGATACCGCTGCAAATTTGCATGCTGATGTGAAGGCATTCGTGTGATGAAAACGACTTTATCCACTTTGTTTCTACCCTTTAGAGGGACAAACGCAAAAAATGTAATCCTTTCACGGAACTCATCAATAAAGAAGAAAAATAATTATGATAACGACAATCAATAGAATAAGTTTACGCAAAATATTAGGTTGTCTCAAAAGTGAAGTCCTTTTTCAAATAATTCAAGCTGTTCTTGTTTTCCCACTAAACTTAGGGTATCATTCGATAGACCAGATCAAGCTCTACATCCATCAGGGACCCGTCTAAGTCGCATCGCATAGAAAGCTTGAAGCCAAAATCGAAAAAAAATTTTGTTACTTGTAAACTGGATTTCTGCAAGAAAGATCCCTACGGACCTCCTAGTGGGAGGCGTGCAAGTGTTACCCGGGCAGCCGCCTGGTGCCGCGGCCAGCTGCCAGAGCTGGCACCAGCGTCGCGGCTGAGCTACCGTAAGCGCGCCCTCGTCGTCCGCAACCTCTCGCAGAGAGATTTTCGCAGCAGCCTCGCACATCATTGCGCTGAGGTGCGAGAATTCCCTCAAAGTTCAAATTACTTCCACATAATATAGATCGATCAAGACAGCAGAAAATTTGTAGTTTATTAGTAAGCTACACATTACAAAAAATATACAAAAACAAAAAAAATTAAATGAATAGAAAACAACACAAAAAATCACAAATAAAAATCACAATCAAATTTACAGCTTAGTTTTTACATTCGCACTGCTATCAAATGGTTTTCTCTGTGACAAATTTCGACATTTTAATACAAAAACTATTTGTAGAAGCTGTTGGTATGTAATTTCCGGTTTCATATTCTTCTCTGAAGCTGCGCACCGCATCAATGATCTTATTTTAGCGCAAACATCCTAGTCTCCATTGCTAAAGTCATTTTCTTTCTACTAAAGATAGTCGTTTTCTAGTCAGGAAACCTACATTTCCATAAAGTTTTCAAAATCGAGAAGGCGGTTTCGGTGAAGTGGTTAACGGAGCTTATTCTTTGTTTTTGCGGTCCCCTTTTATTTTCCGGCAGCTCTGACGGCTGTCCGCGGCACCAGGCGGCTGCCTGGGTAACGCTTGCTACGCACCCCCTCCAACTTGGTCATTATACAGCAAGCTATTATTACTTAAATATGCCTTTACCGAATTTTTTCGAGCATAAAAAGCGAGGAACAAAAATAGTCCAGCAAACTCCGCCCCCGGCCCCTCCCACGTATGTCATCGTATACTACAAGCCCTGTATGTGCTCCTATAATTGAGAAATACCAAGCCAAAAAAGTAGCATTTTGGCATTTTCGGACCATCTTTCTTTCTCAATTTTGAGTCCCGGAAGAAATTCGCCAAATACATTTTTGAGTACTACTATGCGTCTACTATATAAAGACCAAGTTGGAAGTCCGCAGGAATTTTCTGGAAGGAGATCCGATTTTTAGGGTAGCTGAAAATTTTGATTTTCGGCCCCAGATTTTACCTGGATTACGACTTAAGTGGATCATTGATGGTCTTTTTGTAGAGCTTGCACCGCTCTATCGAATGGTACCTTGAGGAAAACAAGAACAGCTCAATTTATTTGAAAATGAGGTTTACTTTTGGGACAACCTAATAAAATACATCCAATTGAGGAAAACAAATTGTAATGAAAGTCTAGTAAGACAAACATCTGTAAAAAATAGCAGTAAAACCTCAGAAAACAAGGCAAGTGAGGGTCATCTTCTAAGAATGCAACTCGGCGTCCTTTTAGGCACGCGCACCGCTGCGCTAAAAGCTGAAACGCGCTCGCGTTGCTGCATGCGCGCGCCATAACTACGCGCGCCACGTATTCGTGCATGAAAAGGCACGCGTGTCACAGATAATTCTGCATACGCGTCTAGTATGGCGCACGTTTGGCACCCTCCGAACACGTTCCCAAAACATGGCACGCGCTTTGCCGGACTGAGCATAAAGGCGCGTGCGCCGCACGCACCGAATGTCTGAGAGTAGCGCCGAGAAATGAGAACGCAGTTGCAAGAGGAGAATTAGGGGAGAAGTTTCAAAAGTTACGTGCCAACCTGATAAAAGGGTCGCACCGAATGTATCTACTATTATTTTGTTTCCTTTTCTAGAAGGCTCAATGACGGTAAGAGCGAAATTTTATTGACCTAGCCTTGTGAAGCACCGTTTGGTTAACTTTCTTTGATAGATCAAACTTTACTCATTTCATTTGATCATTGCTTCTAATTTATTGTTGTTACGTATTCGTATTGTTCTTTGTGGGGAATTAATTACTATTTTGTATTACAGGGCAGGTGATGACACATGGGGGCGAAGCCCCAGATTCCTCCGCAAAAAGAATACCCATCGCTTCTTACCCTAAAACGGTCAGCAATATTCAGCCTGCTTTGTGAGTCAGTTTAGCATGGTGCCGCAGCCAGCCGCCAGGACTGACACCAACGCCGCGGCTGAGCTACCGTAAGCGCGCTACATTACAAAAAATATACAAAAACAAAAAAAGTTAAATATTAGGCTGGAAACTAAGTTTTGCAACTGGTTTCATAACTTCAATCTCTTTGGATATGGCGCATTCAAACTTTGGCATTATGTAGAAGGCAGTGTGAGCTACAAGTGAGCACAACTGTCTAAATTTTGAACACGAAATAGAAAAGTTTCAGGCATTTATCGAAAACTAGTGAAATTTGAGAATTTTTGGGGTTTTAAGCTAAAATGAAGCCTTTAGCAGCCTAGACCATGCGCAGTAATCCGGATTCGTCTACAAATTATTGCTGGAGGTTGACTCCTTTGGCCTAGTAAGAAAGAAACAAAATTTAGGAGCATGTCGAGATTTGGCGTCCTTATAAAGTCGAACGAGTCAATGTACGCAAGAGCTGATGGGGACGACCGTCAATGGCTAAAGAGTCCGAAGCTCAAATTCCGCCGAGACTTTACATAGTAAGGTTATTTGACCTGCCAAACTCGAATATCACATTCATTTTGTTGATTCAACGCTTTTTCCTTGTTTAGGGTGAGACCCTATATCGTACACCTACAGTAATCCTACTACAGGAGTTCCGAGGAGTTTTCAAGCCCTTGTTCATTTCAAATGATAATCATGAAGTCTACTGATCCTTCTGGATAGATGAGGTGAAGAGCGCTTTCGTAAACTCCGCGTAATCGCTGATATTGACAATCAGACTCCAACCTCACCACAGGGTTGTCGCGCTTTTGCACCACAAAACTCGATTTTCAACTTACAGAAAACGCTTCAATGTAGCCGCAACAATACACGTACAACAATAAACTTGTGTGCCTAGTCAGGAAAAAATTTCGGGGTTGCACATTCTGGTTCAGCCGCAGTTGTCATCCGTTGAGAGTTGAGTCGAGCACCCTGCACAATCATATCCAACTCAAATCAAGAAATCGAACAGGAGACCGCTTGAAACTTCAAAAACTTGCTAATCTCAGCTACCGCGCAGAATGCGAGATGAAACAGAGAATAAAATAGTGAGATTTGTGATTATATTGAATCTACTGCTCGCATAGAATTTTCGTTGAAATATTTCAGATCTAAATGGCAACTGCAGCACTAGAAAAAATCTAAAAGTTGTTGCAAAAGATGCATCTCCATGTAGACAATGTAATAAATCGAGTCCATCACTTCACGAACATTGGAAAGTGAGTTTTGTGGTTTAAAAGCGTTTCAAGCCTATGTTGAGGCTGGAGTCTGTCCGTCAAAATCAGCAATTACGCAGAGTTTACGAAAGCGCTCTTTACCTCATCTATCCAGAAGGATCAGACTCCATGATTATCATTTGAAATGAACAAGGGCTTGAGAACTCCTCAAACCAGTTGTATATTGAAGCAGTTTGACTTCTGATGCCTTTGGAAACGAAAAATGCAAGGATCATCTTTCCTTAGCATGACAGGTCCTAGGTGCTGCAAAAGTTTCATATTCTGGGATTTAACTCTACAAAAAAATTCGGGAGTCAAGGAATGCGATAATGTTTAAAAAGGCCAGATGTCTTTATAATTATGTCCACCTTGCGAAACAGGCTTTTTCGAATTTTTCCATTTTTCTCCGTTCGAAATCAACGGAATTGGAAGCTGTTCTGAGGAGTTATGGTAGGCTCACATGCGCACCATGCAGCAAAGTTTCAGACAGATTCACTGACAAGAACGAAAATTACGACGATTTCTAGAGTGTCTCTATAATTATGTCCAGCACTGTATGTGGCAGTAGATCGAACTCTGAGGGAATTCTCGCACCTCAGCGCGATGAGGTGCGAGGCTGCTGCGAAAATCTCTCTGCGAGAGATTGCGACGACGAGAGCGCGCTTACAGTAGCTCAGACGCGGCGTTTGTGCCTGGCGGCAGGCTGCGGCACCAGGCGGCTGCCTGGGTAACACTTGCTACGCACCCCAGTGTGCCGCTACTTCGGAGAATGATTATTTTTTTATCGTCTGCTCAATGTTGTTTTTGTATTCCATTCTACATTTCTACATTATTCGTGATTGTCTCAATCATGAGCGTGTCATAGGAGACGTCGCATTTTTGTTGCGAAGTCAAGGGAGACTCAGTCAACTTGCATCTATGCATTCCATCGACGCATACTTATAGTCAAAATTTGCATTGTAAGCATTTAAATTAGCTAGAATTGTATTGATACTACCTACATTCTCGATGATTTTACTTTTAAGCAGAGGTCGACACAAGTGGCTTACGGGAGGCTGAGTGTCCTTTGGGTAAAAGCTTAGGGGATATTGTTTTTGGAGGGTTCGGAGCGAGCCTCGAAAAAAAAAATATCTAGCAGCCTAGTATCTTATATATAAAGCTGAATGTCTGTTTGTATGTCTGTATGTCTGTCTGTCTGTCTGTCTGTCTGTCTGTGTGTACGTATGTTCCGAATAGAAAATTCCATTTCTGAACCGATCCGGACCAAACTTGGCACACATACACCTCGGGTCCCGGCGGGTGTCATAGGCTACTTTTCGTCATCGATCGATATCGATTTTATCGATTTTTATCGATTTTTTTTTGCCGAGTTCACCTACGGGGCTGGGAGTTGGCACAGGGGGGTAATCGAGCATGGGGATTCCGAATACAATATTGGTTTTCAGGATTATCGATTACTTTTATCGATTTTATCGATTTTTTTGCAAAGTTTGAGCTACGGGGCTGGGAGTTCGCACAGGGGGTAATCGAGCATGGGGATTCCGAATACAATATTGGTTTTCGGGATTATCGATTACTTTTATCGATTTTATCGATTTTTTGCAAAGTTTGAGCTAGGGGGCTGGGAGTTGGCACAGGGGGGTAATCGAGCATGCTGATCATCCCCAAGGGGATGCTGCTCGATTACCCCCCTGTGCCAAATTCCAGCCCCCTAGCTCAAATTTTCAAAAAATCGATAAAATCGATAAAAGTAATGGACGATCTTGAAAACTAATATTGTATTCGTAATCTGCATGCTCGATTACCCCCTGTGCAAACTCCCAGCCCCGCAGGTCAAACTTTACAAAAAAATCAATAAAATCGATAAAAGTAATGGACGATCCCGAAAACTAATATTGTGTTCGTAATCAGCATGCTCGATTACCCCCCTGTGCAAAATCCCAGCCTCGCATGTCAAAATTTACAAAAAATCGATAAAATCAATAAAAGTAATCGATAATTCTGAAAACTAATATTGTATTCGGAATCCCCATGCTCACTTCCCCCCCCCTGTGCCAACTCCTAGCCCTGTAGGTGAACTCTGCAAAAAAATCGATAAAAATCGGCAAAATCGACATCGATCGATAACGAAAAGTGGACTGTGACACCCGCCGGGGCTCGAAGTGTATGTGTGCCAAGTTTGGTCCGGATACGGCGGAGCCGGGTAAGCCAGCTAGTGGTGTATATGGAAAAGACTGCCATTTATTTGGCGCAAAACCTTAGAGTCGAGAGTTGAACCCGACCTTCAAAAACCTTTTAATTACGCAAGGCACACACAGTCTGTCGCTTCGTACATACTCCGTGTTAAGAAAGTTGACATAGAAATTACAGAACTTTTTACTTTTACTGATCATCACAAATGAATATTCACTGAGAACCGAATATTAGGAGCCGATATCTTCAGTGAGAATTACGCATGCCAGTTGAACAAGTTTGCAGACCACTTAAGTATGAAATTTCCAGATTCTTATATATTTGCAGAGCGGATAATCCTAACAGGCTCTGAGGAGAAACCTCGGACGTGAATTAGGTTGCAATCAATTGCCGTGCCACTCGTGGTTATCTTCGACTTTCATTGTGCCGACTTATCTTGTTTTTAAATTTTAAGCCTTTCACTCCGCTAAGATTTCATAGAGTACCTTTCTTTCCAAAGTTTTTGGAAGCTTCCTTGGGAACTACTGATGAGGGGCACCAAGGAAGGTGCACTACCGGTATAGTTCTTAGCCCCGAAACCGGATAGTGTAGAAACAAATGCAATAATTGTCATGAAATCTTGTACCGTGGCAATTATATTCTAACTTCTCATTTATTTCATTATATAGAAACGAAAAAACAACCTCGTGTACAGTTAAAAAGACGAAGACATTAGAATCATGCCGAGGTTTATCTAGAGTGAAACAATGGCATTCTGACTTGACTAGATTGCGAAGAATCTAAAACTGGGTTTTTATAAGAAACGAGCTGGCATCCCGGCTTCTACCCGTTTGGAGCCAGTTCATAGTGGGTGCTCTTGGGGTTGGGCCAGACTTCGCTGGGAAAGCGGCGTACGCGGCGTACGCAGCGTACGCGGCGTACGCAGCGTACGCTTGGTATATTCCATCATAGGAGCGTGCGCGGCGTACGCTGCGTGCGCCGCGTTTCCAGCGCAGTTTGGCCCAACCCTTATAACAAAAGCTATGGTTCTTTTGATTCCTACCTTCCTACCGTCCTTACCATGTCCTGATGACCAGCAGATCAAATTGAGCTTCAGCACTCATCCTTCATGACTATGGGAAATGTGCACAGACATACAGATTTTCTGCTTTATATAATAGAGATTAATTCAGTAATAAAGTTCGAGAAGCCCGGTCAACTCCACGCCCAACTCACAAAATCTTCCATCCTCCACTCCCAAGAAAACATCCTATCGTGTTGTCACGTGTGTCATCAGATGCATACTCTCAACATTACCCCCCCCCCCCCCCCACCCTTCCACCAAAAGCGCTCTATCCACTATTAGTTCACCTTCGGAACGTCGCAACCTCGTGCTCGTCACTGCCTTTCTCGTCCTCCTCTGCCCTCCTGAAAGATTTTATAGGACCCCACTGTTAAAATTGAGGAATTTTGGCTGATGATGGTAAAATCCTCACTCAAGACTTCGTGTTAGAATAAATCCTCTGTTCCGGCAGGTTGCAACGTCAGAAAAGTCAGGACGGAAACAAAGGGAAGACAAAAAGAGCTGAAAAGCCTAGATTTCCCTGCAGCATGTCTGTGAGTTATAAGTAATTTATCCTCTAGGGTGGTTCATCATCTGCTGAATTCTCCATCATGCCACAATGAAAGGCAGCTACTGGGAGGAGAGTGCTTCATCAGAAAAAACGGCCCTTAGTAAAGCCGTCAGCCAAACAGCTACTCCTCTCAGCCCAACTTCAGAGGCCAAACACGCTCCTGTGTTCTAAGCAAACTAAGCCTTCAAAGGACTGTGAATATGGTTCGAATGCGTACCAATCAAACAGATCTTGTTATAAGAGAGGATACAGTGTGGTGGTTAAAATCGCCAGTACCCCGTATATAGTAGCGCTTGCAAAGCAAGTACAACGTTTTTGTGTCATTTAGCGCGTTGCCACATCATTTCAATTGTAGAACAATATGAGATCAAATGTCGCGACGAGCCTGGAGCAATATAATAAGTGGTCGTAAGACGCACTAACCTTGCTGTGATGAATGGAAGACTGCCAAGCAAATCGTTTATTGAGAATGTTTTTGCAACAGCATTAATGACCGTTACTTGGGTCAAGAAAGCTTCACCTAGCAAAAGAAGACCTAAGCATAGCTATATCTAGCAACCATCACCTATTCATTTCAAGATAAGACGCTTTGATATGTGATATATCGTTTAGAACCGGAGCGGATGAGAATAAAATGACACCTGAAAGGCAATGCACCAATGAAACAAGAAAATTTAAAAGTTATAGAATCTCTGCGGGAAGCGAAGGAAGAAGAAATGCGAAAAAATGCAAAGCTCTAAAAAAGCTTAGAAGTTCAACCGATCCAGCCGATAAGGAAGAGATGGATGGCTTCAAGTTTACTAGTACTTCAACAATTTCTTAACGGCGTCTAGTAATCTCCATTTGGTTGGAAGATAGAATGGCTCAAAAACGTGAGGGAAAGGGGTGTCGAAACCGCAAACCCGTTCGATTGGTGCCTCAAGGTTCAAGAAGCATCGGCGCTGCAAATATTGGTGTCAAAAATATGTACGATTTGCGAAAAGGACTGCTTCTCACCTGTATTGAAGCTGCTATCTCTGCTCCGAAGCCAGAAGTCATAGGTGCTTCATGGGATACTATGAGCCTACCGGTCTTCGTCACACTCTCAAAATATTATTGTGATCAAACCTAGATCATAAACCCAGAAAATTTGGAAAACTCACCTTTGCCACAGTCTCTTCGTCCCAAGGAGCAATGGTCTCTAAGTCAATTACCTCCACACTCTTATTTAGCTTTTCCTTAACTAACTGTGCTGCTTCAAGTGCTACATGCACCTGGGTACCCCAGGTTACTATCGTGACATCCTTTCCTGTAAGATGACAATCTTAATATAGAGTTGATTAGCTTCATAAATTGATTAGCTTGCACCGTAGAAAAACTCCTGTGCATCTTGCTCATATTCGAAAAAACATGAGTTTGTTTTGTGATTTTTGATGATTGGTCAATCGCCTTAAACTGTGAAAAAAAACCTTTTCGCATCTTGATGATATTCAGAAATGTACGTGCATATTTGCAAACCTTTTTAGTAAGATATTATCTAATCCTAAAAATTCATTAGGAAAAATAGGAGCGATTTTTCTATATTCTGTAGGAAATCTGTGGTAAACATGTGCTAGACAAGATTCGCAAATCGTCGAGTACAACTTTTGTTGAGTGGATCGGCATGAGGAAGAAGTTACGAGTACAATTGCATGAATGAGCAGATAAATCTCGCATTCTTTAACACGTTGACGACAGTGCCGCGCAATGGTGCGCGGCAGGCAGTCTGTCCCTGTGGACGACGCCGCGCAATGGTGCGCGGCGGCCTTGATTTGAATACTATCTGTCCAGTCCTCTTAGTTTTTGTTCATATAATCAGCAAAGGCTCAGATGTACTTCGAGTATTAGCCCCGCCCCTTTCGGCAAACTCCGCCCACTTCCATACCTCTCACAGGAACCCTTTTTGTTCATAAAAAGCATGGATGAGGCCGTAGATGAACGCAAAAACCTCAAACAACTTTTAGCCAGGAACCACACACCGTCAGGCAAACCTCGCCCCCGAAGTATCAAGCTCCGCCCACTTTCCAAAAGTGGCGGAATTCGCATGAATTCTTAGAATTTGGGCAATTTCCGACATTTTTGGCCGAGTGGGCGGAGCTTGCCACATGGGGGCGGGGCCTGCACATTTTGTATTTCGTGCATGCATTCATGCATACATACATGGGGTGAGGCGTAGGGATGGCCGGAAACGTCTCGTCCACAGGGACAGACCTCCAAAAAATGGCTCGTCGTCAACGTGTTAATGGGAAAAGTAATTGTACATTTATTCTGGCCTGACAAACCTTCTCTGACAACATCCGCTTTACTCAATGGAATCATATAATCCCCAGTGGGTACCTCTTCAGCAGCCAGTCGATAAAGAACCTGAAAATAATACTTAGGCCAATTCGAATATGCATAATGAAGCAACGCGATACCTTTGGTTCGAAGAAGATACATGGATTGGGATCTCGAATGCATGACAGAAGAAGACCTTTAGCCTGCACGGGTCCGCGTGGAATCACTATCTAAAAAAAGTATCATACATTGCTCAATGCCTTTTTTCTTGAATTTTAGGGTTATAGGGCGGCCATTATAAGAAGGATTCCAAAACATTTCCCGGATGTTTGAAGGCAGCGTCCAAACAGATCAGGACCTATGGGGCTTTTACGTGGATACTTTTGGGGCCCTAACTAAGGCACTGCCCAAGCGGCAACTCAGGTAGTGCTCTAATGGCTGAGATCTTCCCCTCGAAACTGGCCCCCGCGAACGTATTCGCATGGATTCATGGCAGTTTCGCGCCAGGATCCACGCTTTGCGCCATGAATCCATGCGAAACACGGTCGCGGGGTCCAGTTCCGAGCGGAATATTTCAGCCGTTAGGGCATTACCTGAGCTGCCGGTTGGGCAGTGGCTTAGTTAGGGCCCCAAAAGTACTTTCCACGTAAAATCCCCATAGGTCCAGACTTGCCTGGACGCTGCCTTTGAAGAAATTTCTGTCGCGCCCTCATGAACAACAATTTCTCAGACCGCTGCAGCTTATCCACATGTTCAGGAAGACAGCCGTAAAAATTTTCAGACCGCACAAGTGATAAAGTATTGTTCCTACTGGGAACACAAAAAAAGTTTACGCTATCACTTTACAGCCTATGCTATCGCAAAAAAGAAGGAAAACATCAAATGCCGATAACAACTCGTTGGAGGGACAAAGGCTGAAGTCCGTGGACTCTGCTATGGGAGGGGAGAAGTGCATTGTTTTCTTCGGCGCCAAAAGCTGTATAAAAAAGTTATACCTTCAGTCCAGGTGTGTGGGTAAAGTTTCCTTCAGGACTTTGCGAATGATACAAGCCTCCATGTCCTACAGCACCATAAGTGGCTCGCACGGTAAGAGCACCGCAGTTGAACATATTTCCGCTTCGGTAACGGTATTTTGCTGCTTCATTGACAAGCTGAAAATGGATATCAGATGCTGTGGCGACAAGCTCGAATGGCACTCACTTGGTCATATGCTGGGAAGATGTAGTCACCAAACTGAACCTCAGCGATGGCTGTGCTACCACCCACAACTGCTCCAATGCCGAATCCGACAATACCTTGTTCACAGAGAGGAGTGTTGAAAACACGCTCCTCACCTAAAAAACAAAACTTTCTTGCATTTAATATGGAGACATTCTGATTTTTGTACTGACCGAATTTGTCCTTCAATCCCACCGTGCATCTGAATACTCCTCCAAACGCAACATCTTCTCCGAACAACAATGCTGTGTCGTCCTTTTCCATTGCTATATGTAGTGCACTATTGACTGCTTGGCAAAGATTCATCTTCTCTAGAGGACCGCCAGCTAAAGGAACTTGATAGAAGTAAAGAACTGTATTACGCTTGCCACAACATGATGATCTTCTAAAACCTTGTGTACTGGATAAATCGAAGGATACTGAGTATTCAATTGCCTAATAATATATTTATTTCCTATCTGCTTTTCGTCACTGCGAAAGAAGACAACCGGATCTACACCTTCAATCTTCATCAAGTGTTAGGTAAAAATATTTCTTCATACAATCTTTCATGTTCTTTGAATACTGTTAGCTAAACTGAATCTTTCTTCATACAATCTTGCATGTTCTTTAAATACAATGAACATGCCATAACCAAATGAAATTGGCTTCTGACGTACTGAAATAATCTTTGCGAAGACCCTAGACCCTCTGAGCATGTAGAATAGCAAAGCAACTAGCATTCAGCGCTTCGATGATTTGCATATCTTTTTGGATACTGACTCGGTTTCTCTCACGGTTATAACTGTGTTGCTCATTCTTTTGTTCAAGGCAAAGGTGACTCCAAAAAGAAGTTTTCTGAATTGTGAACCAAGATCTGTTAGGGACCCCGCTTTCGAAACTCACAACCCAAAAATGAGGAATCTTGTATTTCGCCAAGACTTTGCACATTATTATTTGACGGATCACGAAAATGATACTCATAGTAAATGTACAGTAGGGCCTCGAACGAGGGTCATTCGACATGCTGATCACAAACATCATTTTTCCGTAAGAAAACCCCCTTGTGTGATTACGGTAGGTGTATGGTAGGTGGTCAAAATCAGTCGTTTCCGAAATTTCGCCTAGGGGAGAGGCGGGAGATAATCACCATATACGTGTACTTCATACTGATTTCGCACAGCAGCGCCTTGTTTTGATTCACGATGGGTGTGCAGTAGAAGGGATAAAATTCAAAAACTGTCAAAACTTTGGCTAGAGAGGTTCTTAAGCATGCTGAGCACGAACATCACGCTCGTTCGCTGCAACAACGCCTTAACGTTGTGTTATGCTGAGATACAGCGCATAAATGAACAACTTTTTATCTTCTCGGAACAATTCAGACTACGAATATCAATGGAAAGGCCTTAGGCGAATTGGGGGCAATATTCGTAATCAGCAGGTCAGACGGCCGTCGAACAGAGTATGGGCCGCGAAAGGGTTCCAGAACGCAAAAAAGTGTGGTATCTGCAAACACTGTGCTTAGAAACCTCGAATTTTGACTCATCTATCGTATGCCCACCGTATGTCGAATAACCCCCATGTGCAAAGATTTAAACTCTGAAATTATTCATTTTGGGTATTGAATCTTCAAATTGTACAGCAATCTTGGAAATGGCATAATCATAGAGTGATACTGACAATGCTCTACGTCACTTATAAAGAGGTAAAAAATGATGATACATTACTAATATATGTCATGAGCAGGGTCAAGCAAGAGGTGTGGCACGCGATCGCTGATTACGACCCCTCCCTCTAACTGCTGTCTCAATAAACCCCCCCCCCTGAACTATATACCTAAGACAGCATTACTTGAAGGCCCTAGTACTCTGCGTTGATACCACTGCTTTAATTAGCGTGTTGATTAACCCGTGTAAACAAAGTTTGAGCGAATTCTGAAGTTTCAAGATATAGGCCACCTACGTGAAATGGTCATTTTCCAACATGATTAACTATGTTTCAAAGGTGAACTGGCTACCGGTTTCTGCATTCAAGACAAAGCACTACTCCTTCTTTGTCCATCTCAGACATCCCCCTTCAAAAGACCTCCAAACTGTGGAATTAGAAGCCAACCGAAATCTCATTTTTCCCATTTTTCGCTTTTGATGGCTGTGCTTTCACCAAATAATACGCGAGCTGAGAAGACGAATTAGGCTCAAAACATTCCTATGGAATCTACGAGGTTTGGACTATCGTTTCATATAAGTACTGTTCGCTAAAAATGTTTTTTTGATATTGTCAATGGGAGTGGCACACCTCAAAAGCTGTGGCGGTGACAGCTTTTGAGGGATTGTGCCACACCCCATTAACTATATATAAAAAACCCCTAAAACCTCGCAGATTTCATAGGAGTGATTTAAGCCTAATTCATCATCTTAGCGCTGAGTAATATTTGGTGAAAGCATAGCCATCAAAAGCGAAAAATGGGAGAAACGAGATTTGGTTGGCTTCCAATCCCATAGTTTGAAGATCTTCTGAAGCGAGATTTCTGAAGTGGCCAAAGAAGGAGTATCGCTTTGTCTTGAATGCAGAAACGGGTAGCTAGTTCACCTCTGTAACATGGTTGATCATGTTGGAAAATGCCTTAGATGGCCTATGTCTTGAAACTTCAGTAATCGCTCAAACTTTGTTAACACGGGTTAATTAACATGCTAATCATGGATATGATACTCGTTAAGCTCCGTAGCACCTCTATAATGTGCTACGGTAGTCAATATCTCATGCGCTTGTATTTCGCCTACCTGACAAACTGCTTACCCAACATTATGTTATCACCAGTGGCGTACCCAGGATTTCGGCTCGGGGGGGGGGGGGGGGGGGGGGTGGGGGGGGGGCGCGACAAAAATTTTTTTTTAATGAAGGTGCGTGGCGTTAGCCACGCACTCCGAAAAAATTTTTGGGGTGCTTCCCAAAATTTTTGCGGGTCCCCAACCCCTAAAATCTGGAAAAAGGGGGCGTGGCGTCAGCCACGCCCCCGAAAAAATTTTTTTTTATAAAGCTAAAATGAATTTTTAAAAAATTTTAAAAATTATTTTAATTATTTACAAGTGCAGACAAGTCATTTGCACAATTTTATAACCCATATAAGTAACTTTCAAAAATTTCGCGACCTGTTCTCGGGGGGGGGGGGGGGGGGGCGCGCGCCCCCCCCCCCGCCCCCCCCCCCCTCGGTACGCCACTGGTTATCACTATTATCAGATTACCCAACTACGACCCTCTTCCCTTTTGACTCCTCAATACGACCCCCCCCCCCCCCAGCTGTGGCGTGCCACACCCTACGCTTTGGTCATAAGCTGTTGCGTTGAAAGGAAACGAAAGAATTACTAAGCATGAAACGTACCGCTTGCGATTTCCGGTTTCACCCCTGATGGCATATAGGTAAAGTGAGCAGCGGTGCGATGTGATTGCTGCAGCAATCGAGGAGCATTCCTAAGAGCTACTGAAAGTCCTCTGGATGTCATGGCTGCAACAAAAGATCTAATGTAAAGCACCGAACTTCGAACGGAAACAAGTAGCTACTAGAGGAAGCTAATCTACGGCACAATCTTTTTTGTGGATTTGACATTCAAATCTGAAAAGAACGCAAATGATAAAAGATAAGAGTTGGGACGCCGTCTCATGTGTTACGTGGCAAAAGAATTTCAACACGAGCGCACGCATCGAACAACCAGCGGGATTGCACAAACAATAACAAAAAAGAATGCTACTGCTATTCATCATCCGAGAGAAAAAACTGAAGAAGGTAGCTATTGAACCACAAGCAATCTCAAATTCTGAACGTATTTCCGCGCAACGTTTATCACCGATATAAGCGTCAACCGGTGCCACCCAAACAATTAAATCGGAATCAGTCAAGAACACAAATGACAAACATTCGTAATTATCGCCTTCAGCGCAATCAGTGAGAGTCAGTCACGTAAAATTCAGACATACACTCTCATCACAAGATCGATGCCATCACAATAACTATTTGAAAAATCTCTCTAATACCCAGTTTCAAAGCGGAAGATGAAAGGGCGATCCAAGTAAGAACAGCGAAAATTCAATCAGTACAAATTGTATAAAACATTCTGCAAACATCATGAAATGTGATGAGGTCGTGAAAGCCGGGAAAATCAATTTGGTTGAGCTTGAGAAAGGCGAGCATGCAGAAAGGGAGCGATGACTCAGCTGACCGCTGCAGACGCCTTAGGCTCATCCTCGTCCGAAGTTAGTCCCTCTAATTCCTCGTCAACATCGAACAGTTCTTCATTAATTGCAACAGCTGCGACTCCTGGATCAATCGAATTGAGTTTTTGCAACATTTACGCGAATGCAGCTTACCTTGAGCTAATCCATCTGCAACGTTGGGATTAGCTTCACTCGGAGCAGCAACTTCGTCCAAATCGTCATCCATTCCTTCAAACTTGAAGAAGTTGTTGTCGATTTCAAATACTTTCTCATCAGGCTGAATGGTTTAGTATCATTATATGTTGATTAGAATACGATCTGTGCACATACTGCAGTGAGAAAGAAAGTCGTGCACAAACATAACTCACGTCAGCTTCCTCATGTTCAAATTCAACATCCTCCGCATCTTCGTCGTCAACGCACGCATCTGCGTTGAATGTAAACAAATCCCTTCCGCTCATACCGAGCTTAAATACAAAACTATAGAGAATAAATGTGTAAACATTCAAGCGAAAAAAAAAACAAAATGAAAAACAATGCAACAAATGTGCGAGAAAAGAGTAGAAAATTCAAAACCACAATCATTCACTTGGTGTTCTTCCTTGATTTATGGTGAATTGGATACCACAAATAAAGGAAGGAACACCCAGTGAATGATTATTATGCTGATCGATACAAGAATTGAAAATGTAAGTAGAAGGTAAAGACCAGAAAAATAACAATCTGAGGATGCAAAGAGATAGTTCTGGGACCAAAACTAACCAAAGCAAGAAAATTTTGAACTGACCGCTCTGCCGGCTTTGATTTTGTCTTTCTTCGCCTTCTCCTCTTCCTCTTCTTTTTGTTTCTTTTCTCGCAACTTTCGTTTCTTCCAAGCAACAAAGGATTGAAGAGTGACTTTGGTAAGATTTTTTCCTTGCAATGCCGCTCTCTGAAAGCGAAATCAATGGCTGTGTTGCAAGATCTATACAATTGTCATTCTTGTTGAGAGAAAGATTGTGTACGATGGAGAAAATGACTGTGTTCAGTATGTGGATATATGATACACAAAAAACATTGAGGAAAATCCTCATACTCAGTGAGAGAAAAACGAGTTAATACCTCTTTCTCAATCAACTCTTCCAAGCTAATTTGATTCTCCTTATCTTGCTCCTCCATCTTCTTCCGATCCTTTTTCAAAACGTATCTGCAGACGCATTTTGCAGCAACAACATATATAGAGTAACAACAGCAAAGAATCATTTCTTACCCCTCAGGCAAACAATGCCGATAGATACATTTGTCGCCACCATTCGGACACTCCCAAAACCACCCATACTTGTTTTCCTCAACTGCTTGAAGGAAGTACTTACAAACCTAGAAGCGAACAAAAGCTTTGATATTACTACGGAGAGTTATGTGAAGATAACCAGAGTTCTGCAAACTCACGATAGTTGTTTGATTCAATTTCTTATTCGCTTCTCCATGCTTTTTATTTACAACCTCGCTCAATTTTGTTTCGTCCCAATTCTCCATATTATCTAAAACAACGATAGTTAATTATTTAACTGGAGAATGGGGGAAAACAGAACGGCCCAAGTGTAAAAAGATTTCTTACCCTCTTCTTGTTTAAGTTCTCGGCTGTCTACGTAGAGATTCTTTTTCTGCGTCTTCTGTTCAACAGCCAAATCATGGCTGAACTTGCATTTGGCTCCCTTATGGCACATACCATTCTTGAAGAATGCGCAAACAACAGACTTCGGGTCGACATCTGCAGAACGAAGTTACCAACAATTGACAGAACTCAGAGAACTTTGAGAGATAGAAGAAATCATGCTAATGAAAACTTTTGATATACCAAATTAATTCATTTGAGGAATTACAAGTGTGAACTGCCTGCTAACTAGCGATCGTCAGATATAGAAAGCAATGGTAGGTCAAGAAGACAAGACAAAGCAGGGCGCACTCCTAAAATCTTCCAATCATGACATGTGGCTTCAGAAAGACCAATTTCTATACATCAGCCGATTCTGGCATCACATTTAGAACGATGTTTCGAACCCAAAGGGACGTGCTAGGATGAAAGAGTGGAGCGGACTGCATGAGAAGAAACCAGTGTTCTCGCACCTGTCGACAGGAGATGATGGAAACTACTTGAATATTAAGCATCGTCTTCGCCCACGACTGTACAGAGACGCAATTCGTCTCTCTGTTCACCACGTACTCTCTATAATCATATTCCAAAGGAACGCTGTCCCAATGAGCAATGCATGCCAGTATCGAAAACACGTGCTCAAAAGTAGATCCCGTTCGCAAAAGAAAAGGGAAACGATTTCCTACATTACATAACGGATAATAGATAAATGCGACGGGTCATACGTGTTAAATGCGGCTGCCACGGGCAGAGAACCTACGATCTATTGAACTACCTAACGGTGCATTCTGCACGTATCAAAATGATCACCTCCGCCGAACCTAAGGGACTCGTCATACTTCGCCGAGAAAAGCCCAAAAGCGCTAAAAAACCCAAAACAGCCCAAAAAGGCCCAGAAGCACCAAAAAGAGCAGGAATGCCCCTCTCCAAGCGCAAGTTTTGGCGCTCAGGCATGTGTTGATTTCGTATCGGAGTCTTTGCTTCATTTTCTGTCGTCTGTACATCAAAATAATGTCAGAATTTTACCGAACGTTCGTTTCTGCGTTCCCGCTCTTTATGGCGCTTTCGGGCTTTTTCTGAGCGGTTTTGGGCTTTTCTCGGCAAAGTATGACGGATCCCTAAAGCTGTTCCAATACACGATAGTGCTCATTGTTTGGACGCAAGTATCATGAAATAAAGAATACTGGAAGAACGTGGCAAGTTCCTTTCCTATGCGAAGATCGTGACCGTAGAAACTGGAATCCCTAAAAATTTTTATCTTTAGTTAATATTCGCCCTGGTAGTGGAATATCGCTTAGCTATGAGAAAATAAATATACATATATGTTTAAATGAGTATCTGATCTTTACCAAGTTAGAGCAAAAAATGAACCGATGAAATGGAAACAAGCATTTCGAAAAATGAACTAGGTTAAATCGTGTTTCTCTGAAAGTATGGAACAAGAGATGAAATACTTAATGCGTGCACTATTTCACCTGAAGGGACACCCCAATCAATCACGACCAAGAATATTTCTTGAGATGTAACACATAAAAAGATATGTGGAGGAAAAAAAGACCACATCTGAGTAACGCAGTGAAGCATGAAATCACACAAAGACACGTAAGATAAAACGGTAAAATAAATGAAAAGAAAAGCTTATGATGAGAACTGAAATAATCACCAACCTCGCCGTACCTTCTGCTCCACAGGATGCAAAATCTTGTTCAAATCGCGAAGTTCCTCTAACTCCTTTTTCTTCTTTGCTTCAGCTGCTTTAGCTTGTTCGGCTCGAGAATTTGCATTACGTATCTTGAATAAACGAATTAAGCCATTAACGAAAAATCTCAACTATTGAGTCATATCTCCGCACCTGATTCTGAATTTGCTGTACATATTTTTGTGTTTGCGCTCCTTTCTTGTTCTTTATGCCAAAAGTTTTGTCCTCTATGACCTTTTCCTTCCGCTTTTGCTCAGCTTTCTTGCTTGGTTGCTGTTTTGGTGGCATTCACGGTAACGGCAAGAAATAAGACTCTAGAAAAAGGATTTCAGCGTACATTCGATTGGAACATAGATGTCACACTGGATTAGAGCCGTCCACCCAAATATGTTGGTGGGACTTTAATGTGACACATCAGCGAGGACCCTAGGATATACTTCACAAAAGAATCACTGTAGAGAATGGACCAGCAGAGATCGCCCCGCCCATCATCTTAGGTTGTCTGGAGGTAACGGGTCCGGTATCGGGCTCCAAGATAGACTAACTATATACCAGAGATATCGAAAATGTCGTTCACGATGAAAAGAAGATCTTCGGTCTCTAAGTACTTGGAGTTTAGTTTTTCATCCTCACATCATTCACATTGATTGGGCTGGGCAACTTCAATTCGAAGCTGCTTTCT